GGAGGTTGAGTACACTGAATAAAAAGAGAAATGGACTCCACTCTGGAAGTTAACTGGTGACTTTATATGACTGTGGTTTTCAATGACATGGAATTTGCTTGGTACTATTAGAAAATAAGATAGGATCATCATTTTTATCCTGAGATTAATGACTCTTCTTGTTATCTCAAAGCAAATTAATTTTTATGAGTCACAACATCTCAGTATAAAATGGTGAGGCTGAAAGTCAGATTACAAAGGAATCAAGAACTAAATAGTAACTAAGAAGATTAGCAGAAGAAATGTTGATGGTGGGGCATGTGAAAAAGCACCAGATGTTGGAGATTAGACAGCATGCAGGAAAAAAAAATCATAGTTAAAAAAAATTCTGTTTTACATTAGTTGGTTGGGTTAGCCCAAAACTTGAGTTAGCAAAGAGGTTATCTTTAGCAGGAAAAATTCAAACATGAGAAATGTGGGGAGGCTAATGAGTATAGTACGGAGGAAGTAGTTAAGGATACGAATGTTGGAGTCAACAGACTCTGGCTGTGTCACCTCCTGCAAGTTATTAAAACTTTTGGTGCCTCTGTTTTCTCATCTATATAATGAGGTTACTAAAATATACTTCAGAGTGTTGCTTGTGGCTAAGTTAAATAATATAAATTAAGTGCTTAGAATGGTGCCAGGATGTAGTGATCACTCAACAAAAGATAGCTATAAAAAATTGATCATCATCTACAAACTGGATAAGCAAGTGAAGAACAGATTAGAAAGAACAAGTCATCTGTTTAAAAAAAGAAAACAAACCTATAACTGCCTCCTCTTGTACTTCAGAAAGGATTGAAATTCTTTTGGCAAAATGCTCTTTCAGAGTTTAATTTCCACCAACTATTCTGCCTCTCCTCAGAGGGAACAGTCATGGTAGCAATATTCTTGTAACAATTTTTTGAGTGACATTGGTTGCTTCAAATAATTTTTCAATAAATTATTTAGTATTTATTTATACTAAGAGGAATCTGGTATATTATGCAAGCGTCTAGATTTTATCCTCTATGTTTTTTAAAATTGTATTTCCATTTGCCATAGATTGATGTTAACACAGAGCCAGCAGTTGGGGAATGACTAGGTCCCAGATCCAGAGGTCAGGCCCCTGGACTGACCTGCAGCCAAAGCCCACCAGGAAATACGAGGAATTTACAAGGCTTTACTTTCAATTCTCTTGCCTTCTCCTTTGACCAAACACCAATATCTACTTCTGGGAGAAGAGACCCCCGAAAACCTGAGACCACTCACCACCAACAAAGTAGTCTAGGAACTGGGAATAGCAAGGAGGTTTGAAGGGAGGAGATCAAATATTAAAAATTTACTAGTTACATCAAACCACAGTATATCTTAGTGAACTACAGGGCCAGGGTGTTAAGAAGCTAAGGAAATAGTTATTAATTTAAAATGGATTGAACTTATTTCCCATGTTTATGTCTGCTCTATAGGCTTTTGTTTAGATATACGTCAAGAGAGTACAACTTTTTAAGCCTTTATTCCTTTTTCTCTTTCTGTACAACAGTTTTTTTTTATTGAAATGTTGTCAGGTTATAGTGTCATGTCAAATTCTGGTGTACCATGTAATAGTTCAGTCATACATATACATACATATATTCGTTTTCATATTCTTTTTCATTATGGGTTACTATAAGATATTGAATATAGTTCCCTGTGCTATACAGTTTAAACTTATTTATCTGTTTTATATATAGTAGTAAGTGTCTGCAAATCTCTAACTCCCAATATATCCCTTCCCATCCTCTTCCCACCCTGGTAACTATAAGTTTGTTTTCTAGGTCTGTGAGTCTGTTTCTGTTTTATAAATAAGTTCATTTATCTTTTTTTAGATCCCACATATAAATGATATCATATGATATTTTTCTTTCTCTTTGTGGCTTACTTCACTTAGAATGACAATCTCCAGGTCCATCCACGTTACTGCAAATGGCATTATTTTATTTTTTGTGGTTGAGTAGTATTCCATTGTATAAATACACCACAACTTGTTTATCCATAAGCAAAACAAAAAGACAATCTATGGAATGG